AGCACATGAGACTCCGGAATGCCACGCCGTATGTGTGGCTCAAGGCTGGAAAGCTTTGAGACTGAAGCTCGTTGAGAATGGGTCAACGATGAGATTCTGAGACCCATTATAGTCAAAGCTTAAGTTACAGCAGTGCAGTGCAAGAACAGCTGGTTTTCTCTGGTTGTTGCGCGAGCAAAAAGTCTGTGCAGACCTTGACTGGGTTGTTCAGGGTTTGAAAGTTTTACACTTGGCGATTTCCCAGTCCGTCTCGAGTGTCGAAGTCCAACAGGACGGTTTGGCAGCTGGGGAGCCACGTAGCTGGCCACCTCCGTTTGGTTCCAGTAGGTTGAGCTCCCCCGGCGATTAAGCCAGCACTTGGGCCTCGTTGCGGAACTGGGATAAATCGAGGGCATCTATAGCAGCCGTTATGGCGGCCTCCGTCTCCGCCTGAGTGTAGGTCTCGCCGCGAGCATAGCTGTCCGACTCTATCAGGATCCGAAGGTGGTGGTGGGCACCGGCCACCGAAAGGTTCCGGAGCACGTTGGTGCCTCGGAGCAAATTGAAGGTGGGCCCGTTCCAGTCTCCGCCGTGGTGCTGTAGTCCAGGAGCTGTTCGTCCGTGTAGGTGTTGGCTTGTCGGCTTGTACCAGGAAGGCCACGAAGTTCGCCGTGGCCTCCGCCGTCGTGAAGTGATTCCTATCTCATTCTACATTGGCTTACAAATGTCACTCTGCAAACGTTTGAAGATACATCTGGCACCGTGCATGTACTAGGCAGTTGAAATGCAGGCAGAGGGGGACCATCAATGCACGCTTGGCACCTTAGCAGCTGCATGAAGCTGCAGCGCTGCTTTGGGAGGATGTCGCCATGCTGCAACATGGGAACCATCGTTTCCCGACTCCTGTGGTGATCATTGACGAGGTGGGCAAAATATCCTGGGCCAGCGAAATAAATTCGTATGATCTTGAACTGCAAGTGGCTTAAGGAGGCACTCTGACTTCTCGGTGTTGGGTTTTCAAGCAGGTTGACAACATCCTGCGAGTTGACAGGTGAAGAAGACCACCAATGCACGTGCTGACCAGCTTGGCGAGAAGATGGAGCGTGCGAAGGAGACGCAGCAGGTGCTGCTGCAAAGCTTCTGTTTCACTGAATGCTTTCCCGATTTGCCCTCGCTTGCCTCGAAGAGTCCGGATGGCGTGAAGTAGTTGTAACGAGCACGCAGCACGAGTGCAGCCTGAAACTGAGTTCCGTTTTGAGGCCTCCAGTCCTGTCGCGTCTTGCTGCACCACTGGACCACAGCTCGCATTTGTTTCCGCATGTGGCCAACGAACAGTGTGCAACAGTCTCGCAAGCACCATGGTGGTAAGCAATGTCGCGCTTTCGTGCACGTCCAAGCTCTTACGTTCAAATTCGCACACGAAGCTCTGCAGCACCCGAGAAACATGAACAAGGAGTTGGTTTGCCGCAAAGATGAGCATCACGCTGCCGCACACGGGTCACCGTTGTAGGGGTTCTACATGACGTACTTTGGTCGTGCAGGAGCATGGGTTTGGATAGATTTTCGCGACACATGCATGTTTTTGAAGAACATCAGATCAACCAATCGAAGCAGGATATGACCGGGGACGGGGCTGGGCCAGTTTGTGCCCATGCCGCAGCTTGGGAGCCTTCCGGGCACGACACTCCACGGAGTATACTGGGCCTCATGATTTGGAAGAAAGGTCACGATCATGGGTATGAGGGTCAACTCACCAACTAACGTCATCAATGTTTAACATCTCAGACAGATTTTCCCAAGACCTGCCGTCACCAGTAGCATTCTCGTAGGTTCAGCATCGGGTGTGTGCTCAACAGTCACACCTCTACGACTCTAGAAATGCTTGGGATTTCCGACTGGACCCTGCGCCGGGGATGTCGGAGGTTACTCTTGATTCCCGGTGGCGTGTATACCGGGTGCAGATTGGGGATAAGGCGAGTGTCAGCACAGACATGCCGCTGCTCAAGCCTGAGGCTTGTATAAAGCTGGCACCATGACTTCCAAAGCCGCAGACTTTGCCTTGCCTGAGTTGCTCACAGAAACACGTTTGAAGCATCATGTGCCCTCGGCCAGGCCTCCCATGAGAACGTGACCGCCCAGCTGCAGAATCTCCATCAGAAAACGGAGGTGCAGCAAACCCCAAAACCCCTAAACCCCCAAACCCCTAAAACCCCAAACCCCTAAAGCCCTAAACCCCTAAACCCCAAACCCCGACTGGACGTTTTTCTTTGAAGGCGTCATGAAGCCCTGAGGCTGTCGAGACAAATCTTGCCAACAAGCTCGACACCATTCACCAGAAGCAGGAGGTGCAACATCCACTTGGCTTAAGGCTTCAGGCTTCAGGGTTTATGTTTTAGGAAGCCCTAAACCCTAAACCGGGCTTAGGGGTTTTCAGTGGGATCCAGCTCCTGAGGACTCGGAGGAGCTTCTCTCGGGCAAGCTCACCAAGATCCACGAGAGGCAGGGGGTGCGCCAGACACCCTTTTGGGGGTTCCTTTAAAGGGTTACTATAAGGGTTATTATAAGGGCCCTATAAGGGTATAGTATAGGGGCCCTAACACTTAGAATACCCAGAGACTCCAATATCCTTTAGTTAGGGAATATACCTTAAATCATATAGGGATCCTACTATAATTTTAAGGTATATTCCCTGATTAAGGGATATTGGAGTCTCTGGGTGCCTTGTGTGTTCTGCGGCGCAAAGAGTCGAATCTCAGTGTTTCGTCAGCCCGACAGCTCAAAAAAACCCCCATCCCCCGGTGAGGTGGATACGGCGAACATATCGGAGAAGCCTAAACCCTAAGCCCTAAACCCTAAACCCTAAACCCTAAACCCGAAACCCTAAACCCTAAACCCTAAAGCTTGATGACATACACCAGATGCAAGAGGCGGTTCAAGTGCGGATGCTCTTTGAGTCTAGCCGCTTCTTTGAGCCCGGGAAAGAGCCCAAGGTACGGCTTAGGGTTTAGGGTTTAGGCTTTAGGGTTTTAGGGTTTAGCGTTTAGGGTTTTAGAGTTTAGGGTTTTAGGGTTTAGGGTTTAGGGTTTAGGGTGAAGGGTTTGGGGTTTAGGGTTTAGGGTTTAGGGTTTGGGGACTTTTTCAGCTTGTGAGGATGTCGAGGCCACTCTCAGCAACACTCTCGGCGACATCTTCCAGCGACAGGAGGAGAATCGCACTTCGATATCGGATCCCCAGAGAACCCGATAGCCCTTAATTAAGGAATATACTTTAAATCATAATATATTAAATCATAATATATTAAGGCCCCGATAATTTAAGGGGGCCCTAAACCCTAAACCCTAAACCCTAAACCCTCAAGGCCCCTCTAATTTAAGGTATATATATATATATATTCCTTATTTAAGGGGTTTAGGGTTTAGGGTTTAGGGTTTAGGGTTTAGGGGTTTTCTGGGTCCTTCGCATCTTTGCAGTCAACGCGTCGGCTGCACCTGAGGACGTGAAGGGCAAGCTGACGCAGCAGGTCCAGGAGATCCACCAGGTTTAGGGTTTAGGGGTTTAGGGGTTTGGGTTTAAGGTGTAGGGTTTAGGGTTTAGGGCTTTTGGGGCTTTAGGGCTTTAGGGGTTCAGGGGTTCAGGGGTTCAGGGGTTCAGGGGTTCAAGGGTTTAGGGTTCAGGGTTTAGGGGACGCCATGGGGACCTCTTTTTGGAGTGCGGATTTCAGCCTTTTTTTTTTGGAGGCATCTTTAAAGCCACTTGTCTTTGATATCAGGTCGAGCCCATGGCCAGTCATGGGGCACTAGCTTGTGAGCCTAGCTCGGATGCAACAGGCAAGAGTTTAGGGTTTAGGGATTAGGGTTTAGGGTTTAGGGTTTAGGGTTTAGGGATCAGGGTTTAGGGATTAGGGTTTAGGGATTAGGGTTTCGGGTTTAGGGTTTAGGGATTGGGGCTTTAGGGGGCGACCACGCGTCGAGTCGACGAGCGCACCTGCGCCGGAAGAGGGAATTCCATAGCTCCTACCTAAACCCTAAACCCTAAACCCTAAACCCCTAAACCCTAAACCCTAAACCCTAAACCCTAAACCCCTAAACCCTAAACCCTAAACCCTAAACCCTAAACCCTAAACCCTTAGACCCAAGAAGTGGGTCCGACATCGTCATCGCAGGCCCATCGCAGGCAGCCGCAGACCCCTGCAGTGTTGTCAATGTGCCAGGGCCATGACATGAATGAAACGCCATAACAGCCATCGTCAGATGAGATGCCAACCAGTGGACTCCAAAAGGTGTTGTAAGGCGAGAACACCATGTAGGTCGCTTTTCGTGCAGTGTTAAAGCCAAGCTTCAGCCCTCTACACCCAGATTGGAGTCGGCGGGGTGGGCGTGTTTGGGAGGTCATGGAGGGACAAGCGGCAGCGGCCGCTTCGCGCGAATGTGAACCAAACTGACGCCCACTCAAAGCTCTAATTTGAGGGACGTCTAAGAGCTGTGAGGACGTCAAGGCGAATCTCACCGACCAGCTTGGGGACATGGACCAAAAGCAGCAGGTGTGGTCTGCATTGTGCTTGTGTTGAGGCTGATAAGCTGCATGAAAGGTCTGCTCTTTACACGTTAGGGGGCATCGGCATGGTCGTCTGAACGGTGAGGAAGCGGAAGCCAAGCTGACGCAGAAGCTCAACACCATCCACCGGACGCAGGGAGCGGGGTGCTCAGGATATGGTATGAAAGATGCTGCAGCTAGTTGCAGTACCCTGCTGTGGTACGTTCGTGTGAGGATGTGGAGGCGAATCTCACGGAAAAGCTTTCCGACATCTCAGACAAACAAGAGGTTTGGCACCTGTGGATTAGATGCCGGCAAGCCTTTGTGAGACCAGTGTTCGTTTAGATTTTAGATATCTTGTTTGACAGGATGTGGAAGCAGCGCTGACACAGAAGCTCGACAACATCCACTAGATGCAGAAGGAGCGGTGCATGTGTGGTGTCTTGTCTCAGGACGTCGCAATGTGTATATTATGCTTGTGGGCTGCGCGTTCTGCGCCCATCCCCGCTTGCCTTCAATGTTGTCCGCCTCAAATACAGGAGGGGAACAAGGCCACAGAATGCGGCTTCCCCTTCCTCGGAGAACCAATTATAGGGGAAGTATCCCGTTCCATAGGGGGCGGGGGTCGCGTAGTTGACGACTGCAAATACAATATGTGCATGATAGACGGTGGACGTCCAAGAGCTGTGAGGACGTCAAGGCGAATCTCACCGACCAGCTTGGGGACATGGACCAAAAGCAGCAGGTGTGGTCTGCATTGTGCTTGTGTTGAAGCTGATAATTACATGTTGGGGGCATGGTCGTCTGAACGGTGAGGAAGCGGAAGCCAAGCTGACGCAGAAGCTCAACACCATCCACCGGACGCAGGGAGCGGGGTGCCCAGGATATGGTATGAAAGATGCTGCAGCTGGTTGCACAGGCTGGCCGCATTTGCTAGCGTGCATTGCCCTGCAAACATGCTCTTATCTGATCTTATTTGGGGTTGTTTGAGGTTTTGTCTCAGGTCCTTGCTGTGATATTCCTTTGTTTACCTGGCCGAAAAGTTCCCTGAAGGGCATCCTCGATTTTGGAACCTTGGTCCCAACGAATGCCTGCAGCATGCTTGTCAGCCACTGGTCGAACAAACCAAACTTGGCTGCAGCGGCTTTTGGGTTTTGGGGCTTTTGGGTTTCGCGTCCGGGTTACCGCTAAGGAAGGTGTGACGAGCCAGGAGCTTGGCCATTCTCATGAAACGCTTAATTTGACACGTTTGGCGCTTTGCCTTGAGGACGGCAAGGGCAAGCAATTTGTCATTTGGGGACATGAAGCGCTGAATCCAAACGTGCCACAATCAAATCCATTTCTGACACACGCATTTGAGACCAGCAATTGCGGAATGCATCAAGTCAGAAATCATTGATATAAACTGGATTTGTTCACTCCTTTGCTGCCAGACAACTGCTCTGTGCCGCGCAGACTTCAAAGAGTCAGGAGATGTCAGGAGTGGTTGTTCTTTTTCGGGCAGAGGGTGTTGGGTTTGGGACGGATCGTGGCTATGGCTGCTATGGCGGCTACAGTATCCTTTGCTAACAGATCATGGCTTCAGAAAGCCACACACTTTTTAGGATGGACTGCTTGGAGGACCAGCGTTGAGGTGTGAACATCCAATTCCCCAGAACCCGACCATGTCACACATGTGGTGCGAACGTGAGCTCGCG